CGGTTTGCGTTGTTAGAAAGAGAAAAGATAACTTTATCAAACGGTATAACATTCGGTCTACTTTGGCAATCCGATGGCGCCATCTATCCATTCAACTTTTTAAAGTCACATTTTCTCCAAAAGTTCGAATAGAAGGGCGAGGGTTTTTTCATTCATATGATAGAGGGACGCAAACTGCACCTCTATACGTGCTTCCGTTAAAAAGTTATTCAAGTTACAACCAACTCCATTGTCCTATGAAATGGAGAGTAATTCAATTATAAATATTACAATTTGGAACAGTAACCACATTTATATTGACAATAAATTTTTCAACGAATTTCTATTTACATTGTTTAACAAGTCGATTGTTTCGAAATTATTTCTACAATATAACTAAATTTTAACGATTAGTTTAACTAATTAATTTAAACTAAATAGATTTAAACGATCAAGATTTCCCAAGAGAATGTTAAATATCGCCACTGGTGTTGTTGTTATTATAAACAGAGAATCGTTGGTAGCTTTAATATGAACATTTGTTTTTCGATATAACCTCGTTTATGTGGTGTTCCTCATTGTTGTCGTTGACGATTATATTTTAAATTGAATGCACATATCAACTGATGTCGATGATAATATCAGAACAGGCAGAACGATTTGTATGAAGGTGTAGACTATTGGCCATATGCGTTTAACTAGAATGTCTGATCGTAGTCTAGTCGTAATAAGTCAGAAAATACTAGGTTGATTTTGTTTTTTTAATGGAAAACAGTGTTTTCTTTTTTAATTTTAGGTGAAGGGTTGAAGGAACATATATGGAAAAAACTTCGAAATATTATTAACATCAATGGATGCTGCGACACACTTGCTTACGTATTTCGAACAAGTTTTCTCCCTGTTTTGAAAACATTCAGATTTTAAGTTTTTGGAATACTAGTCAAGTTGAAGAAATTGTGTTTTTGCTTCATTTGTTATCGTTCGTAATAAGGCAGGTTAGTTTGGCAAATATTAAGAAAAATATCAGCATTCAAATATATCTTCCAAACTTAGTGCTAACAAGTGATATCACAAATAATCACAACTTGCTCTAAAACCGTGAGAAAACACTTCTGGGTTAGAAAGGTTACAGATTCTGAGTTTAGACATTCTCGGCTATCCAGTTGTGTGCTTTCTCAAAATCAATAGGGTCAAGAAAAATTGTGGTTTTGTGGGGCTTACCCTTTTCAGGATGTGCATAAGGAATGGTCCCGTGCTGTTACCAACGGTTAAAAAGTGTGGAAAAGTGTGTTAACGAGGGAACATATCCAACTGTCAAATCGCTTTCGAGCCGAAACCTAGTGGACTATAGGTAGTCGATCATGCTGATTCCGAATATGATAGCCCTTTTTCCCCATAGGCCTTTTCTAACCGGTTTCTGAAAAACTAGTTTTCCAGAAACCTCGAAAGGGTTTCTCTAAATAAGTCACAACTGTAGCCCGCGAAATTCTGATTAAAATGAATTGTTTCATCATTTTTACTCCCAAAAATTGCGATTTGTCAATTCGTCTTTAGACACTTTGTCCACACTAATGTTCTCAACAAAGTATAATGTACAACACAAACATATTCATTAAGACTTTAACCTAATGAACAATATTTTTACAGTTTTATTTATATCTAGTTAAAAACTTTAAAGCTATGCTAACTTTCTTGGGACGCCTTTTTGCTTTTCGTTTGCCTGGTGATTGAATCGTGTTTTATCGATAACCTGATACAAGTTAAATAAAATTGCTAATCCAACAAAATGTTTATGTGAATACGCCACACCAGGAAACAATTGAATATAACCTACGGACGAGAATGATAGATACCTAGCCCATGATACATCCAATAGTTTTCTGGTGTGGCAATAATCTTGTTGGCTTGTTGTACTACTATTAGTATATTCACGTAAACATTTTGTTAGATTAGCAATTTTATTTAACTTGTATCAAGTTATCGATAAAACACGATTCAATCACTAGGCAAACGGAAAGCAAAAGGGCGTCCCAAGAAAGTTAGCATAGCTTTAAAGTTTTTAACTAGATATAAATAAAACTGTAAAAATATTAGAAAATATTAGAAAACTGTTCGAACAGTTTTTTTCCGTGATTTGATGTATTTTTGAATACTCCGAGTTTTACGTGTAAAATGGAGGTTTTCTAGTAAACCTGTTGATCTTTACGATAACCAGCAATTATCAGGAGGAGATTATCATTCGTGGCTGATCAGGCTACTAATTGATACCAATGTTCTGCCCTTATTATTGTGGCCACATGTTGTCCACGTATACGTGCAGTATTTAAGAACGACACTAATCAATATCGACATCTCTGCTCGAGTAGAATTAACTTCTTTTATCTTCCATTAATAATTAAATTATGTGTTGTATTTTCAAGGAATTATTTCTATGAATATCATAAATAATTTAGTACCACAGCTGCTGTTATTTTACATACTACTAGACATGATAGTTTTGTGATGTTTTGCGCAAGCAGTGGAAGTCTTAGGGAAAATGGTCATACTTTCAGACAAAAGAATAACAGCACAAAATATGATATTTTCTCATTTATTTATTTCTGAAATTATTTAGGTTAAAACCTTTAATATACATGAATAAAGCCTTCTAAAAGTAATCTGTTTTTTTTCTGTTCATACTAATATGTAATATGCCACTGATATAATAATTTCTGAGGATTTGTGGGTTCCTCTAGTACACACACTGTGATAGAAAATGAATTTCTTAGCGCATAATGACGCTTTTCAGTTATATCATTACAAAAAAATTTGTCTTTCTCTTGTTTCTTCCCCTTTATCACGAAAAAAACCATTTATCATTCTTTTTCTTTCTCTTCTTCCTTGTCTCAACCCTGCGATGTCATCTGAATATGACAATGTGTTTTTTTTATTCCAGATAACTAGAAAATGATTAGATCACGCAAAATATTTATATTATAAGATATGTAGATGAGATTTGTGTCCATAAATTTTTAATGAGTAAGAGCACTTAAGAGCATCTCTCTTCTTTTTCAGACATTCTGTTGTGCTTAAAGTGAGGACTGAAGGAACCTCATTTTGATACAGTTTTTCACATATCTTTGAGACTTCTAACATTTTTGCATCATCTGTAGTGCCTGTAAAATTAAGTTATCAACTTGAAAGTATTACGATTCCATTTTTTTCGTCCATTAAGTATACAGTTTTACTTGGGGTGCATAACATAATTCAATTATCTCTTTTTTTTCGTCTGTAAAATAATTCTTTGTTCAAAAATTATACAGAAATATCAAAAGATCTATTAAAGCATTGGATCTTTAACTGAAAACTCCAATAACTCGTCTCCAAAACTTATTTAGAAATCTACATCTGTTTTTCGACGAGCTGAACTGAAAAATTTTGTAAGATTTTTCACGCCGATAGCCACTTAAAACTTACATTTTTTTCAAAGAAAAGTCACTAAGGAATGAAAGCGTTCGCATTTTTCAGATCACAGGTGTTGTGCCATAATATTTTCTTCGAAATATACGAGATGATGCACATTCCTAAAGGAATTCTTCTTCACATCTGACAGTGAAAAAATACAATTTTACAGCTTCTTTTTTGTCCTTTATATTACTGCTTTAGATTAATATATGGAAGATTCGCGTGGTCAATTAATACCTAATCGTGATACAAGATCATCAAGTGTAAAGAAGTTTTGTGGTTCAAGATGTTGTGTCACTATTTTAATTTTTATTATTATTGGTTTATTAATTTCTACAATTATACTTGCACATCGACTGCATTCTAAATCATCTCAAACCCAATATGCTGTCGATGGTACAATTGGATTTCCACCCCGTTTGCCGAATGATGGTCCTTATGTGCAATGGACCTTTTTACATATGAATGATGTTTACGAAATGCTACCGTTAGATGGCGGTGATAAAGGTGGTTTGTCACGTGTAGCTCGTGTTCGCCAGTTATTACTGGAAGAAAATCAGGAAACATTTACATTTTTAGCGGGTGATCTGTTGTCACCATCGGCACTAAGTCTAGCAAAAGTAGATAACGTATCGTTGAATGGAAGACAAATGGTGGCAAGTATGAATACATTGGGTTTAGACTTTATTACATTTGGTAATCATGAGTTTGATTTAAAAGAAACTGATTTACTACAACGAATGAATGAATCACAATTTACATGGATAAGTACGAATGTATTTCAGTTAAACGGTCAACCATTTTCAAAAACTATACCATATAAACTATTGACAATTGCAAACAACGTCCGTATACTCATATTTGGTTTAACAATTGATTCTAGCTTGGGACCAGGCACAGCTTATGTGCAAATAGTGAACACATCATCATTAATTCCATTTGTTCAAAAATTTCTATCCTCATTAACAGAAAAATACGATGTTTTTGTTGCACTAACTCATTTGGATATGACAACAGATATTCAACTAGTGGAACAAATACCACAAATTGATGTAATTTTAGGCGGACATGAGCATGAAGATTATTATTTGTTGCGTGGCTCTCATTATACACCCATCTATAAAGCAGATAGTAATGCATTTAGTGTTTATATTCATCGATGTGCATTCAATACCAAAACAAAAAAATTTCGCCTATATTCAACATTGGCACGTATTACACCAGAATTAATCAATGAGCCAAATACAGAAGAAGTGGTCAAATACTGGTATGACTTAGGTGTTCAAGGTTTCATTAAAATGGGTTTTGAGCCAAATAAAACTGTGGCTACATTACCATTATATGTTGAACTAGACGGTCGTTCAACATCAGTAAGAAATTTTCCAACATTACTAACAAATTTTTCATGCGAATGTATGTTACAAGCAACATCTACAAATAGAACAGTTGTTGGATTATTTGATAGTGGTCAAATACGAAAGGACGACATACTTCGAGATACAGTTACACAGTATGATATTTTACGCACATTACCATTTCAGAATAATGTTTTCTCGCTATCGGTTCCCGGCAAATTACTTGCACAAGTATTAACGCATGGAATGTCTTTAAAGGGTAACGGCATGTTCCTCGTCTATTGTGGGGTACATACAATTGATCAAGGTAATACATGGATATTGAACGCGAATGGCGGCAATATAGCTACATCCGGTCTTAGTTATAATGTAGCTACAATTGCTTATGCAAAAGACGCAACTGATTTGAAAAACGCAATTATACTTCAGGAATTAAATATAACACAGACAAAAGTTTTAATCAGTTATTTAAATTCAAAATATCCACCACCAATCAGTACCTCTACAAATTGAGATTATATTACTTTTTGATTGTTCTTGACATTTCTACAAACTTCATGGTTTCGAAAACCGTGTTAGCTACTTTTGCCACTTTTTTACCGATACATAAAAGCTTTGTGAAGAAGTTTTCTGACTTTTTATCATCATCTTCTAATACGTCATGTTTTAGTTTGTAAACATATTATGCAAACAAAGTACAAATAGCTTTAAAATCATGCAATGTTGGTATGTTATTTAATTTCATTGCATAAACTAGCAAACTCATTATTAAATTGATGCATAACTTTTTTTATGTCTTTAGGCCTCCCTTAAGCCCTTTTCTGGTAATAAAGGTCTGAAAAGGACAGAAGTTGAAAGTTGTACATTTCAACCGAATTTTTCTAGATTACAGTTAGATATTTCTGATGCAGATATTTGAGAATTGATTGTTTTTTGATCTAAACATAGTTTATTTGATTCAACAAAGCGGGTGGGCCCATTTCATGTTGAGTACTGTCAAGAAAAGTTGATTATTACATATACAATTTTTCCAAAATTTCCTCCAAGCTGTTTTATCTTCGCCGCTCACAGACCAACTTTATTTGACACAAAATAAAAGTGAAAAAAAGCATGGCAACATTTTGTTCTATTCGTTACTATTCGTTCAACATAGGAATTCTTTCTACTTGTTCTTTTCTCAAGTGGTTCAAAACAACCGAACCAGGTGATACTAATCTGAATAGACGATAGTGTTCTGTTTTTTTGAAGAAAATCCAGCGTTTGTCTTTCAATTGAAAGAAGTAGTTGTTGAGGTAGGACTTAATGAATGGATCTGCTAGATGAAGCGGTGGTGCATTCCAATGTAACATGACTTCTTTATCTAAGGATTCGCGATCCAGAGCTCGATTGCCATGAATGTGTTGGTTCAGGATTGAGGCAGCACTCTCGCAGACAGCTTCGCTTCTGATATTGACAGCCATCAGAGAAAAGAAAAGTAGAAACTGTTCAATACCATTCGCCAGATCTTTGTTCGTGAAGAACGTTTGCATCACTTTTGTCGTTGCAATTTTATCATCTTTTGTCCAAACATTCCAATTTTCTTTGTCTTTCAATTCTCTCAAACATCGTTCCTTTCACTCCAGGTGTTGATCATTGAGTAAAATATTGTCGATCTTGTTATGTTTTGAACTGTTCTTCGTAAAAATCAAGTAGAGTTTGAAACGATGACTGTCCATGCTGAAGCACATCCTCTCTTTCTTCCAAGACGACTTGTTGATAGAGTGCTGCAACGTCAAGGCAATTTGCCATTGTTTTAAATATAACAGGAGCTTCTTTGAATCGAGTGTCGATCGAAGTACACAATGCTTGGCAAAAATCAACTAATTTCTCGCTCAAGTGGAATGTAGGATCATCCAAGTCGTGTTCAGCCGCTTTGTGAGTGACTGGTCTCCCTTAGACTTCTCCACGAAGTAGATCATTGTAGTTCAAGGATAAGTGTGCTGATGTTAGTGTCGCTTCGTCTAAGTGTTCGTTTTCTCTCTGTAGAAATTCTCCTTCTTCTTTTTCTTCATCCAACGGAGCTTTTCGAGTGGCAAGAGGAATTTCATCCAGATCTAGTTAAGAAAAAGGATAAAAGGAGAGACAGAGGCTCGGAAATAAATTAGCTTCCATTCCCTGTGTGTTGTTCAAATTGTTGGATAATCTCTCTACTTCTTCTGCGTATGCAGATAGAGACTTCTTCAATTTTTCTAACGCACACGTGTACTGCTACGGAAATGTGCTCACTATTTGAATGGACATAGAAGATTTAACGAGCAAAGAGTAAATATCGTTGAGGCCGAGAAGTTTCCCAACGAAATCGATCGAGGAAATATCATCAAGCTAGAAAAAGAAGACCCATAAGTATTCAATTAAATCGTTGCTTTGGAACTCACTTTAAAAGTCATTTCATCACCGGTTTCTTGATGTGAAACAACGTGAGCACATCTTGTTCTTGTACTAACATCACCATGTGATAGAGCATTCAGTTGATCCTCTTCTTCCTGTACTTCGTGCAGAGATCACCGTGATCTCTGCTTATTATGTTTATTGGTCAGAAAATGTTGTAAATCATATAGCCTGATAGAGCGAAGAATTCTAAGCAAAATAAGACATCTAACGGCATTCTATAGTGCTTTTTCACGTAACTGCAGTCGATTTACCACCAGCTATAAAGGGCGTGAAAGTTACCGGAATATTCCAGTGAAAAAGCACTATAGAATGCTAGGAGACGTGTTATTTTGCTAGAATTCTTCGCTTTATCAGGCTATATGATGGAGATATATAAAATGGAGTAATTCACAAGAAAATCAATGGATATTATAAACATGAGCAACGTTGAGCTATCCTGGGATTCTACCGGATATTTCGGGTGTTAGACTACCCAGTTACATTTTCTTAAGACTATCTTATCTATCATTTTGTAGCTCGTGAAATTCTCTATCGAATGATATATAAAATGGAGTGGTTAAAGAGAAAATAAGTCACCGTTATAAATATGAACGACGTTGGCCTAGCGGTTTCTCAGGATGCTACGGAGTATTTCGGATCTTAGAGTACACAGTTACATTTTCTTAAGGCTAGCTCATATATCATTCTGTAGCTCATGAAATTCTCTATCGAGCGGTGTATAGCAGTGGATATTTGCTCTGAGTAAAACAGGTTGACTAATATAAATACTTTGAGTAAACGTCGTTTAACGCTGAAAGAGTTTTCTGCTAAAGAACTGAACTGACCTGAATTTTATTTTTGCAAGCATGGTTGTTGCAAAGAAAGGCTAGCTTATGCTAATGCAACACCGAAAAAGTGAAGAAATAAAGAAATACTAAAAGAACAAGTAACAGATAAATTATAAAAGTTGAAGATGCTGCTTCAAAAGACCCTTATAGATTCTGTGACTGGTTTGATTCACAACAGTGCATGGTAG